AAACAATACGCCACAGCCACGAGCGCAGTCTCGATGTACTCGGCCAGATTCAATTAGAGGAGACGCATTTGCATAAAGCAATTTTGAGACTTATTTCTCAGGGCAGACCTGAGCTTTAAAGTAGAGATGTCTTCACGACAAGGATAAAGGTGAGGTGCTTTTCAGGATTTTGGCAAATTACATCAGGTCCCAGCAGAACGAGTTCATTACATGCAGCATCTGTGCAATCTCCAAACACGGAGATACAGCAAAGCCGAAGGCTAAAGTCCTGTGGGATCTTTAAAGAAAAACCAGGCGCAGCAGTGATCATCATGACAATGATGATGATGAATACCAACAGTTCCTGATGCCATTTATCAGTGTGATGGAAGTGTGACTTATATGGTAAGTTATTTCTGGATTTAGCGCTCACCGCAGCACAGGGAGGGCACGGAGCTGATCTCAAGGAAGACCCTCAGCTTTCGCCCCTGGTAAAACTCCTCTAGCAAAGTCGGCTCTGGAGCAGGCAGAAACCCTTCCAGTCCCCTGGTCCGTACTGCTGGGTCTGAGCCGTGCCCGCGCTGGGGCCTCTCCGCTCCCCGTCGGGCCCATCCGGTGCGGGCACAGCGGCGGTACAGAGGCTTTGTGCGGCAGATGAAGTATGAACTCTGCCTCTTAATTCTGACGCAGGCAGCTCTGTTGCTTTCGGAGGGGCCTGGGGGGGGGCAGCTGGGAAGAGGTTTGAACCGAGCAGAGCTGACGCCAGCACAAAGCGGGTCGGGTGCAACACGCTCCTGAACACGAGAAAGGGGCCAGAGCTTCCCTCCTGCTCTGGCTGTGTTTTTAGAGCAAGCAGGGTCTAAGACATCTTAAGACATCTCGTTTCTTGCACAGCGTATCTGTTAAGAGCACGGCACCAGCTTCTAGTGCAGCTTATACGTTTCTGCAGCGCAGTGATCCCGAACCTGGCTAGATTTCTGCAAGGGCTCGGCCTTGTTAATTATTTGGTGAAAGCCCCTCTCGCACAGAGGTGTTTCAAGGTGACACCGGCGAGTCGCTGTAGCGGGGGTGCTGTGCAAGTGCCCCATGCATCCCCTTCTGCACCTGCAGGCAGAAAACGGGGACTGGAAGAGTCGCTATATTCAGATTTCTATTCACACAAGCACTGAAAAGAACAACCATCGAAACACTCAAAATGCCCTCGATATACTCCAAAACGACAGCGTGGAGCGAGGTGTCAGCACGGGGTTCGAGAAGCGCTAGCCGACAGGAGGAGCAGGCGGCTCAGGGCCCGGCTGGGCCCAGGGAGGGAGCGGGGCCGGGCTTTCGTCCCTCTGGTGTCCTGAGCACCGGAGCCAGGAGTCCCCTGCCAGCCACGATGCGGATCTGCCTGCTCATGGGAAACACCGTTTCCTCTCCTGCCTGCAGAGCGTAGCCCACCCCGGGCTATTTAAAGCATCCAACGGAGCGGAGCGTCCTTTCACCTTTTATTCCCAACTCTTCCCCATCCTTTGCTGCAATGCAGCCAGCGTAGGCGGTAGCCGGGATAATCACGGACTTTAGAGGCCAGTGAGAGGTGTGGATGCCCGGGGCAGGGGGGCCTGCGGGGACGGGGTGCCCCGCGGGGCAGCGACGACGGCTTCTTGTGAGTGGGGGGCGACTGCTGCGTTGCCACCTGTGCTTAGCCGCTCTCTTAGCCCTTACGGCTCCCCCCGCCGCCGCC